ATATTTTGAAAGATCTACCGATTTTACTCAACAATCTACCGATTTTTAGAAAGAATTCTACTGATTTTATTTTTTTACGTTTGGGAACTCTTCGTTCAGTACAGAAAATGACATCATAACTAAGGTTAGGTAGAGACCCACGAAACTGTGTTGCTAGCACAACTCTATCCACGTCAACCAAGTCTGGCATTAGCCTGGCCGTGGTTTGGGTTTAATATGCGTCGCTCCGTCTAAAACCACGTTTTACAAAATAACCCACGCGTGTGCTGCGCTTGGGATGTGCGTGGGCTGTGCTCAATTTGCGCCGGGCCTAACATCGCTGTAATGTCTTGCGTCCACAACTACATGGTCAATTTGATTGATTATGTTACCATCTGGACTAACCCAAGTGGCTAAATTAAGTAATTTTTGAATTTATTATAAATTATCCAAACTTATAAAAATAACCTAGTAAATTACCTAAATTAAATGAACCCCTCATTTCACATAATCTATTTAAAATAACCACTATTCACTTTTACTATAAAAATTAAGTAATTTTTGAATTTATTATAAATTATCCATAAAGCACGTGCTGGCTATCACCATATTCATTGAGGCCGCAAGGTGTATTAAGCGTGTTCCATTGTTGTTTGACTCGTTATGGAGGCTATATTTTCCAATGGTGGGTAGGTAATCGTTTTCTTTTCCTATTTTGGCGTTGAAATCTCTAAGTACTATTTTTATATTATTTCTAGGGCAGTTCCGTATTATTTCTTCCAATTTTTCGTAAAATTCATTCTCTTCTTCGTCTAGCTTAGCTTCTGTGGGTGCATGGGCATTAACTACTGAATATTTGAAAAATGTTCCCCTAATTCTTATTTTGCATATTTTGTCGCCTATGGCTTGAAAGTCTATTACTATGTGCTTCACCTAGTAATATGGAATCACCTATGAATCCTGTTCCAAGTTTATGCTCTGTTGGGTGTTAGCTATAGTACATTGTATATTTCTTTTTCTCGAATATTTTCCCAACTACCTAACCTCTTAGGCGCTATGATGTCTATGTTATATTTATCCAGGATGTTGAAGAGTTCAAGCAATGCTCCAGTTTTATATAAGGATCTCACATTCCACGTACTTAATTGTAACTCCTTTTCCTTTTTCTCGCCAAGTCGTCGTCTAGATTTCAGTCCGGAAAGTTTTTCTTGAATTTTCGTAATATAATTTTACTGTTTCGGGCTGTTAACCCTACGCCCAACCCCCAACCTAGAGGACCAGTTCACCGGATCTCCATTGTTGCTCGGTTTAACAAGGGGCACCAGCGTGAAGATGAGAGTCGGATTTGAGTAGGAGAGGCTAAGTGGAGTAAACTGGAAGCAATTCCATGTTTTCGGATTCTACCCCTTTACCCCTCTTCTACCCCTTCACCTCCGTTTATAAACACTAAGAAGTGTAATTTGCACAAATTTTGAATGAAAATCTAAACTTTATATTGAAACTTATAGCTATAAAATCCATCCAATTTTTCGAAACTTGAGCCCTTCGAAACGAAGGTACTTTCGAAAGATCGACATAGAAAAGCAGAGGGGATAACTCAAATTGAAACACGAAGGAAAAATTTACATTACCTCGGCTTCCATTGCAGCTAGAAGCATCTGTTTTTTTTTATCTGGGGTAGCCCATCGAAATATGAATAACTACATGGTTTTCACTGGCCGGAAAATATGGGAAACCTCGGAAAAATTGAGTTCATTTGAAATTTACCGTAAAAACTTATTATTTTTTTTTTAATTTGGCTGGAAGAGTCTGTCGCAGTATTAATAATGATGAAATAATTTTCACCCCCCCCCCCTCCCTCATACAAGTCTTACTCAAATAAAAATTCTTCCTGAATTTGTAATTTGTTACAAAGTAATATTTGGAATTTTTCCAAATATTACATGAATGCGCACGAATGCATTCATCATTCATGGACAACGCACAATGAATGCGTTGTCCATGATGACAATCACACTATGTTTATTTTCAAACCATGATTCAAAAATTGAACTTTAGATATCCTCATGATAATCTAGAGACTCATCTTAATTTTTTTTGCAGATATTAAAAATACATCCTCGATCTATCAATTTTCTTCACCGTAGTGAAAAATTATAATTTTCTGTCCTTTATTGGCTATTACTGAATTGAAACACTTATTGCGCCACTGTGTGGCGCATGTCTATAGTTTTGTACTTAAAATTATTGACTTTGTTGTTTCTAAACATGAGAGAATGTCCTCTCGTACCAATTCACTTCGAAGGCTTTCAATAGTTGGAAAAATATTAGCAGCATACATTTTGTATATTGTTCTGGTTACAGGTTCAATTAATGCGGTTCTATTTGTTTGAGTTTGCTACAATCCTTTCTCCTCTGTCTAGAAGAAGATGTTTCTTCTATAATCTTGTAGCAAGTTGTTTAGGCACTCTGGTTAATAAACATGTTTCTGCAATTGCCTCTGATTTAGATAATTCAGAACATAAACATGTTTCATCACACGTTTGGTATCATCAGAGAGGTATTCAAAATATCGCTTACGTTTTACTACACAGTTTTGTAGATCTTCCAATCGATTAGAGGGCTCCACTGGTACTTCAGCTGCAACATTATTATCACACCATGGACGCCACATTTTAAAAGTATCTTTGTAAAATAGTAGAATAAGTTTAGGAACAACACCGACGAAGTCACAAACAAACTCACTTGCAGTTCACTATTTGAATTTAACTTAACGCTGTAGTAGTTATGGTTATACTAAAAATATTCCTGGTTCGCAAAATCTGCTTTCGCTGGTTTAAAAATAAAATATAACTACCTACTCAAGTACAAAATACTGGTCGACGAAACATGATTTTTCCTGATGAACTATTACAAAATTAGGAAATGTTAAAAAATTTAAAAAATACAAAAAAAAAACTGTACTTAACCTTTTTTGCCTGAACTAATTGGCGTAATTAGAAACTTGTCTTAAAGTATCTTTAACTTAAATGCCAACTTCAGGATCCCTATCTTCAAGTGCTGGTTCAGGAATGGTAAATTATAATAATATGAGTGAAATTCATCTGGAGTCACACCCGATTTGCAAAACTTCAATAAATCTTGTTTTTTTTTAACTTATAAGTCGCATCTTTGTGTACGCGTCCTTTAGGGTTATTTCTTTCAAATTAGGTATTTTTCGACTTCTCCCAAAAACGTTTATCTCTTTGTATTCTGAGGTATGATCATACCTATACTCAAGAATTCCTGGTTTAGCCTTTTGGTATCGAAAACACAACTTTTAACCAGTTTACCTTTTCGTTTTCTGTCTCTCGTTTTATTTTTAATAAGCGTATAAAGACCTTCTAACTAAGTCAAGAAAATCTTTATGTTTGAGTTCCTGCAGAACAAACGGTTTCTTTTTTGATGATGTTGTTCCCCCTATGCGAAATATTGTTAGCCAATCATACATTGTATACACAGAAACATACTTCTGGGCTCATTCAATAGCACTGTGCATACTGTCCACTTCCATGTAGCTATGTCCACTTTCCAGAAACTTTTGCTCTATAATCATCAAGTTGGGATTTTTTTTTTTTTAACCAAATTGAGTAACAAAGCGCTAACATTTTGGTTCCTGCTTTGGCTACTGTAAGTGTCAGAAAACACTAATAATGCATTTTCACTAGTGGGAAGCTGATTAATATAAGTAAAGAGGCAGGTGCCAATTTCTAAGCTACCCCTTTTTACATGAAGCTCTTTCCAGCTATAACAAAACGCATTATTTGGCTCATACACTGTTAAATTATAAGTGCAAATTTTTTGACAGTAGTACATTGGACTCACGTCGTTACTCGGTATTTGAAGCACCCATTGCAAGTCAAATGTGGCACATACAAAATTGGCCTCTTTCATAGCTCTAGCTTTGTCTTTTGCTTTTGCTGTATAGCAATCCTCTTTTCGAGCATTCGTGTTCTTCCTATTGTGTCTGTAATTGCTTTTTCTTTTCTTCATCATTAGTCTTGTATTGTGTGCAGAGCTGGCATTGATCTTTTTTTGGAGTGAGAAAGAATAGTTGTAATTATTACAAAAAATGCGTCTATAAGTGATTGAAGATACAGGTAAGGTACATTGGAAAACATTCTTTTTCCACTTTTCAATTCTTTTCATGCACCGATATTCATACAAAATACACGAATATTTAAGGTTATGTTTACAATGTTTACAGAGCCCTCTGCGATGAAATAACATTGCAGCAAAAGCAAGATAAGTGTCGATTTAATTTAGTTTGGCGGTGCAAGTTTTCGTCAGATAATTCACATAAAAAAGTTAAATGACACTTATCTGGTTTTGCACACTTGGGAATTTTAAAGTAACGATCAAATAAACTGCAAAAAGAAGATAATTGCACTTATCTGTTTTATACGCATAATCATTCTATAAATCTACTATACTTCAACAGCAAAAATAAGTTAACTTAACAGGCATCTAACCGGTTTTCTAGAAGAATTAATTTACTTTTTGCATAGGAAATTTAAACTTTTCGTTAAATGTGCACTTAGCTTGTTTCACTTGTACAGTTTTGACCAAAATGAATAATTGCCAAAACAAGCCTACATAATTCACCTCTTTTCCATTGTCCGACACTTATCTTTTTTACGCAATACAATAATATGCGGATTTTGATTACGAAAATGCACTTAACCCAAACATGGTAAAAAAATGCACTTACCTGGTTTTGACAGTAAACCGACGATATCTTATGCCAAGGTTGAGTAAGTCTGTCGATAAAAGATAGCGCATCATGATTTGTCCTAATAGCGATATCCGATATTTTAATTGGTTCTTGGTCAACAGTGATCAACAGTTCGCTGAAATCTTCAACTAGGTGACTGCCCGAAAATAGACACCGTGTATAGTTGAATAAAAATATTGAGTTGTTAGTTTAAAAATTTAAAACACTATTCGTAGTATCTTTAATTGATTATAATTTTTGTTTCCAGATATTGCCAGATAGTGCAAAAGGCTGGAGGGAAGCTGACTTACATTGCAAAGCTACTGGATGCCGGCATGTTGTGGACATAATTGATGTCTATGAAAATACATACAAAAAGAACGCTTGCGTTTTAATGGTGATGGAATGGTAACTAATAAAGTACATCATTTATTTTTCATAATATTTCATCTACATATATTTTAGCATGGAGGGTGGTGAATTGTTCACAAGAATTCAGGACAAGGCTGAAGGAGCGTTTACAGAAAGGGGTAAGTATTTTTTTTTAATAAATAGGTAAGAAAATAGTTATACAGTAAAACCTCCTTTAACCGAAACGGCTGACAGTTTCAATAATTTCGTCAATAAACAGTAAATTTTTATCGCAAAACGTAAACAATTCCATTAATTTCACTCACCGATTGATGCCGAACGTGTGTTGAGAAATCAAAAAACTAAGAGCTCTAAAAGATATTTAAGGAAAAATCACTTCCTGTAATCTATAAAGTATAGGAAGACATCTTTTTGCTGATCTCTGCATTTCTGAAGTAGGACGGTTAAGCTATAAAGTACTTCTCTTGTGCCAAATCCTTGTCTGAAACCGAACTGTGTGGGGCTAATGTCTCTTTCACATCTGTTGTATATTCTTGTGTGAATTATCTTTAAACCAAGGTCTATCAAGGCGCCTATATTGTCTTCGCTCAACATTGTTAATGCATATGTCGTCTGGACCTGATGCTTTTCCCCATTTGCTCTGTTTGATTGCCCTTACAACTTCTGACTTCAATATTTTAAGAGAGGGTTCACTTTTATATTCACTTTCAGAGATTTTTCCAGTGTTGCCTGAGTATAGTTGACGTTTTTACTCCTTGCAATACATTTCTGTATCTCTGATTAATCAATAAAAAATCATTTTGATTTCTTACGATGTTGTCATGCGTATGTTGTGGAGACTGCCAGGTATAGAGTCTCCGAGGTGGCAGTTTATACCAGGTATTCGCAATGACTAATTTTTCTTCTTGACAGAACTGGATTAGCATATCACCTCTCTCGTTTCGATCTCCAAAACCAAAGTCACCCACGACATCTTCAACACGTCCTCGCCCTACCTTCGCATTGAAATCTCCCATGATTCTGGTTCTTCTACATCAGTTTCATTAACTCCTTAATCTCTCTGTACAATTGTTTTACTTCATTTTCAGGCTTGTCTAAGCTTGGTGCATAGATTTGTATAATGTTAAGGTCAACAGGATCGGCTTGGAATTGTAGTAGTGCCTATCTGAGTATGCCACGAAGTTCCTGTTTTGTTTGAGGCTTTGTTAACTAGATATCCTACTCCGCTATAATGATGGGGTAGGTTATTTCCTGAGTAATATAGTGCCGCTTTTTTTTAGTACAATTACCACTGTTAAGCAAGCTGATTTCGCTAAGTCCTATGATGTCTAGGTTACATCGTTCCATTTCTTGTATTATGTTGTCTAGTTTACCGGCAGTGTAAAGGCTTTTAAGGTTCCAAGTACCCAGTTTTAGCTTTGGGGTTTTCCCACTTTCGGGTGGTACCTAGAATTGTTTTTCTTCGCGGAGATTCTTAGCACCCCTTAGTGCTTATGCTGTATATAATTTTTGTAATGTTAGAGAAAATATTTACATTATTATGGCCTGAAAATATTTTCGGTCATTTACCAATCTAATCTAGTCAATATACCAATACACTTAAACTACAGTATGATACATTTATTCCTTAGACAGTTATAAATCTAAAATAGCACAGATGAAATCTTTCTATTTATCACACTATATAATATGATATTTTTTTACAGAGGCTGCCCAAATAATGCATGATATATGTATTGCCGTTAAATACTTACATGATCGCGATATAGCTCATAGAGACTTAAAGCCTGAAAACTTACTGTATTCCAAACAAGGACCTTTAGGAGTACTGAAATTAACTGATTTTGGTTTTGCAAAGGAAACCTCATCTCTAGTTACTCTCCAAACTCCGTGCTACACACCTTACTATGTTGGTAAGTAATATTTGAACATTGTACTTATACTCGGTTCGCTATATTTACGCGGGTTTCAGATTAAAAATTTTATTGTAAGCACCCAGTTTTAATTACCTCCTCTTTGGGGAAATATCAACTGGTCAAATGAAATGAAAAATAATCCATAACTTTTTTTAATTAAATAATGGAAAATCTTTTATATAATTGACAGTATAATAAGGAGAATTAATTCATTAATGGAGTCTAATGTGACTAATATAAACCTAATAATAATTTTATATTATACTTCACACAGAAAATATTGTCTTTGTATATTTGTCCCATGGAGAGAATTTCTAATGAAAAATAAAAAAATTTAACTTGCCAACAAAAATGAAAATCAGTCATTATCATCAAAAATATCATAAGTTAATGGATGGCACGTGTGACGTCACGTGCGAAGTAAAGTTTATATTAGAACAATAACAATATTCAGAGCATGACTATTTGGCACTTTATAAGATGTGTAGTTTACAATATTTTTATTTTTTTTTTGGGTATATGTTTTCTTATTATTGACGAAATAAAACTTTTTCTGCGTTTCCCTACGTAAAGTGTGTATATTTATATTAAAGTAGGAATATAAGAATGTCTGTATTTTAAAATACAGATGCAGAATTCAGAGAAACAGGAGGGAAAGACAGGAACAAAGAACATAACAGCTAGATATACAAAAATTGAAACAATATGCCAAACAGAACTATGAGAGAGAACTAACACAAACACTGACAGACACAGGCAGTCTAGGCATCGAATAATATTGGGAAGAAATCAAAACAGAAGTTATTGACGCAGCAAGAAAAATCATAGGCAAGAAAAAGAAAAATACAAAAAGGGAATGGTTCAATGACGAATGTAATAAGGCCATACAGAAAAGAAATGAAGAACACAAGAAATATATGGAAAGAAGAACCAGAGAAAGAAGGGCAAGTTACCAAGATGCAAGACGGAGGGCCGATAAAACATGCCGAACAGAGCAAAGAAAATACGAAAACGGTAATATACAGTAAATGGAAGAAAATCTTCAAAGCAACAATATAAGACATGCGTACAGATAGCTTTGAGTGTCTGTGTCCACGTATTTAAAAAAAAGTTATTTTTTGTTAATTAATATCTTTTACAATAATGAATAGGTGTTTTGCTTTTTGGGATATTTTATACAAAATATCGACCATTATAGTTTTAATTATTACATATAACTAGAAAATTCGAGAACGCATGTTTTTTAGTAGTGTATACGAATAATTTAAACTTCAAATATAAGTTATCTGTATTTATTTTTTTTGTAGCTCCAGAAGTGTTGGGGTCCCAGAAGTATGATAAAAGCTGTGATATTTGGGCATTAGGTGTTATTATGTACATATTGTAAGTTTTTTTTATTTTTATTTTAAGTGATTATTAATCGCGATCATTTCTTATTTGGCAGTATAGTGAGGAACAAGATCTATACGAAATTTTAAAAACCGACCTACTGATAATCCAATATTGATACCTATTGTAACACAGACCCCCCAGAGAGACATTTACAGAGTTGTACTAATCTGTATCCAACATTCAAATAAAATTATCCGAGAAAGTGTTGAATTTCGAATTATTAATTTGAGTACTTAAATGTTTTTACCAATTGATCGAAATACTGATTATTTTTAAAGTAAACTATCTCATAATATAGTATTTAGAAAAATTTACCTTCACCTTTTTTCAAAGTTAAGACTGGCAAAATAAAATATTTTTTTAGTTACGAAAATAAAAATTTTCTTTTGGTGCCCAATATCACCCATTAGCTAATGTCCAATTAATTATGGGACACCCTGTATAAATAAATAGCAAAAGCAATTAATTCTTTGTTTATAAACATTTTATAATTTTGAGAATCTTCAAGTTTGAAGAAAGTTGTCTTTTAAACGTTTTCATCTAAAATGCGTAATTTTTTCACAAAATTGAAATAATAAAAAAAAGCCGTATTTTTGCTTAAATGTCAATAAAAAACCATAACGCAGTAAAAATTTCATCACTCACGACTTTTCTATTGACCTCTCCAAAGATAATCCAGTTGAAAAATATTTATAGTTTAATATTTTATAATTTTTTTCTTTAGGTTATGCGGTTACCCACCATTCTACAGCGATCACGGGCTGTCCATGTCTCCTGGTATGAAAAGTAGAATCCGAGCAGGTCAATTCACATTTCCAGATGCCGAGTGGAAACAAATTAGTCCTGACGCAAAACATCTTATTACTGGAATGCTTACTGTTGATCCAGCCAAAAGATTTACTATCGATCAGGTTATGAATAACCGTTGGATCGCGGTAAGAATGAATGAGTAAAGCATAATGAGGTAGTACTCTTATCTATTTATAATCCACTTCTATTTTCTTCTTTTATTTATTTATTGTACATTTAATTGTAAAATACTCAGATGCATAAAAATTGTCGCTTCAAATGTTAACAAATTTTGATCTCAAATAAGTTGTTTATTTATGGTCCAAGTTTGATAACGTTTTTGACAAATGAACGGAAAATCATCCCAGACAGATATACATTATACGCGGAAAAACAGAATTATATTTTTAGCATCTCGGTTTAAGACGTAGTTTGAAATACAAATGTATTATGTGTTTGTCTCCTCGTTTAACTACTGGAAAAGGTCCGTAGTATGGGTTATCTAAACCGTTTTTGATTATGTCACGGCGGACAAACACGTGAGTGGTGATTTTCATCTCTTTGAAAATAAAAGTGCTTGACCCATGTTGCGACGGTTGCCTAGGACGGAGATTTTCGAAATGGTTTCGAAGTGCCTTTAAATAAATGTGAGCACTGTGTTTCTCCGTGTTTCTTTGCGACGAAAACAATAATTCACCGGGCAAACACAATGGTTCTCCATAAGCGGCTGAAGTATCTAAATCTTCTCTCCACGCTGCTCGTATGTCCAGTAACACTGAAGGTAGGCTTTCGGTCCATCGAATGTTTTCATGGCATCGAATTGCTGCTTTTAATTGTCGATGAAATCTTTCCACCATGCCATTTGCTTGAGGGTGATAGGCGATTGTTCTTAAATGGATAGTTCCAATTAATTTGCAGATTGGTTTAAAGAGTTGTTTTTCGAATTGTCGACCTTGATCCGTTGTGATACGCTTGGGAGCGCCTAAACGAACTATCCAACCAGAAAAAATGTTCTGGCTACTGTATCTGTTTCTTGATTGAGAATTGGGAAAGCTTCCGGCCAACGCGTGAATAGGTCGACACATGTTAAACAGTATATGTTTCCTTCAGAAATCGGCATCACCATAATGTCTATGTGAACATGTTCCCATCAGCTGGAAGGTGATAGGAAACTTCCAGTCGGTGAAAAAATGTGACACGATATTTTTGATTTTTGGACACGCTCGAGTCCATTTTCTCACATCTGATTCGTTTGAAGGCCAAATATATCGCTGTGTGATCATCTTCAAAGAACTGTTGATTCCAGGGTGTGCTATTATGCGGAATGTGGATTAGGCATGGTGCTAAAAATTGTCAGTCGGAGTGGTTTCGGTACAAATGGTCTGGCTGTAGATCTTCATATCATTAGATCTAGGATTTTTCCTTGATATACTTCAAAATTTATCAAATATTCGCTAGGTGTATTCATACACCACACCTTATAGCCAAACCTTACAGGCTTTCCTCTGATAAACTGTTTGTATCCATGTTGCCCAAAGTAGCGTATCATAGATTTATCATAAGCTATATTTTCTTCTGGGACAAAATGCTCTATCAGCGATTTTTTTAACATATCTGTAAGTAGTCTTAGTTTGTACATTTTGTTAATTTTATTTATATTATTATTGTCTGCAAAATGAAGTAAACGACAAATTTATAAAAACCTGTCACGTCTCATGGCAGACACCAGAATATTTTGCATGTCAGGGCTTCTCTCCCAGTAGCTTCTTTTAAATGGTAGCTTATTATATACGCTTACTAAGAGAATTGCCATAAATACTTTCAATTCAGGAAGTGTCACGTTAGGGTTCGATTGATTTATCAGTAGAGCATATTTTGTTGTTTCAGAGACTGTCATTTCTAGCAACTCATCACTAATAAATAATTCAAACAGTTGCACACAACTCCTTTCTGAATATTTACTGTAATCCCCTTTTGGAAAGTTGCGCGGCGTATAATAAAGGTCTACGTCAATATAAGTTGTAGGTTCTGGCAGATCAATTACCATTCGGGGATTTGTATTACGCTCTGCAAATCCTTATCATAGCTTGCTTCTAGGTCTGATTGTACACCTCCTAGACATTCAGAGTCTGCAAATACAACTTCTGCACCTGCATGAAGTTGACGAGGATTCAAGTTATCCGGGTCATTACCTTCGTCTTCGTCACCTGAATCCTCATCCGTAAGGAAATTTGATTCAGGCGGCTCAATAAAAATGTCTTAGAAAAAGATGATATATGTTACATCATCTTCTTCATATGCGATATCTAAAGCTTCCTGTAATGTAATTTCACTAGAATTATAAAAAGATATGTTTTGACCACATAATCGCCTAGTGGGTCCATATGGGTACAGCAATATTGACATGAATTTTTAACTGCCCCTTGTAATTTTGATACAAAAATATGCACACTACGTTGTATTTTAAGATCTTTTAAAATAAATAAAATTGATTTGTTCTTAGTATTCCCAAAAAAAGGTACTAAAAATTTACTTACATAAATCGGATATCCATTATCAAACACTTTTTACTATAACACGATTTTCTAACTTCCTTAGCTTGTGAAATCTAATAAAACACTGATGAGTAGTCATCAACGCAGGTTCAGACAAGTCTAAATAAAGTATACATGCGGTAAATGTAATGTTGGTAGTCTGTTTTATTATAATTTTATTGTGTTAAACAATACCTGTACAGCTGGGTCCATATGGTGACTGTAGATAAATTGCCATTTAACCATCAAAACGACAAAAACATAATAAATCTATTCTAATACTAATAAATCCATTCAAAATACGCTTCAATACCAAAATAGTAAATCTGGTCCTAACCAGTCACTCAGTTTCCGACGACGTTGAGTAGCAATTTTAACATTAACATTAACATAATTTTTATTTTACTAACTAGGTATTCAGTGATTATAATAACTTATATACTATGTTCTATTATATATATATATATAATATATATATATATATATATATATATATAAGAAATACTGGATATTAGTGACTGTCGATATAAACAAACAACACAGTTTATTAGGGTTGCAGTCAGAATATTGGCCGGGATGTTAAAAAAAACACTCTTTTGACTTTTTGTCGAGCTTTCGGAATGGTTTTATTCCTTTTTCAAGACGCTGTAAAAGACAATTATGTAAATATTTAAAAAATATCACAATTCTTCAGTGTAACTTACTAGTCGTTGAGATTATTTTTATAAGCATTGACACTCAACATTTATACCACACATTAAAATATACAATTATGGACATAGTACATCATAAAATTTTTAAAATTTGTTGTAAAAATAGTAAAACTTGATTGATGGCATGTTTTACTGGTGTATATTAATGTGTATGTTAATATACATCAGTAAAACATGCCACCAATCAAGTTTTACTATTTTTACAACAAATTTTAAAAATTTTATGATGTATTATGTCCATAATTGTATATTTTAATGTGTGGTATAAATGTTGAGTGTCAATGCTTATAAAAATAATCTCAACGACTAGTAAGTTACACTGAAGAATTGTGATATTTTTTAAACATTTACATAATTGTCTTTTACAGTGTCTTGAAAAAGGAATAAAACCATTCCGAAAGCTCGACAAAAAGTCAAAAGAGTGTTTTTTTAACATCCCGGCCAATATTCTGACTGCAACCCTAATAAACTGTGTTGTTTATATATATATATATATATATATATATATATATATATATATATATATATATATATATATAAATATATATATATATATAATATATATATATATATATATATATATATATAAATATATATATATATATATATATATATATATATATTTATATATATATATATATATATACAATTCTTTGGAGGGTAACTTTCGGGAAAGCGTCAAAACAAGGATCAGCTAGAGATGGTATAAGCCAGCTTGGTGTAGAACTTTATTCTAAATGTGAAATTTTCGGTGATATGTTGTCACCTTCATCAGCACCTAAATGGAAAACCTATTATAGTACAGTGGTGGAAATCAACATTTAAAAACCTACATTGAAAATGTTCAGTTGGTCCTAGTTGTAAAGAACACTGTCACAAACATGTTAAAAATATTAAAAAATACATTTAAAATTTTGAATAAAAACATTACAACACAAACAGGGTAGTTTTTCAAATACAAACACAACAAAAAGTCTAAAATTTACAACCTACAAAAACTGCAAATAGAAAAGAAGAATTAATCTTCTTTTTTGATGACATATTTCTGTCAACATCCGGGTGTCATATGTAACGAGGTTATAATTTTCACTTTTGCACCTCACACAACACCACATGGATACGAAAAGAAAGAGCCCTAGGCAACATAATAAGCAAGGAAATGAAGTCCCCTCTAAAGCACAGGTAGGTAATCTATGCATGTCATGATAAGTTCCCCACATTTTCCAGTTTGTTACTTCTTGTCAAGTCCTGTTGAAGTAGAAAGGAATAAATACAACTTAAGTTTTCAACATCTTTCTTACAGTTCATAGGAGAGCTGCAGTTATGGATGTAGCACATTTCTATGAAGTTTCTCTTAAATTGGTTGTCAACCCTCTTTAGTACTTGCACATTTTCATAGTTAGCAGTGTGTCCAGTATTCTTAATATGTTGGCTAAAGGCTGTGCTGGTGGGCTTCCTCACAACATCACTCCTGTGCAAAGCTATTCTTTTTGAGAGTTTCTGGCTGGTTTGACCGACATACACTTCTGAACAAGAACCACATGGAATAGAATACACTACATTGAAGTTATCCAGTTTTTTAACTCTTTCTGTCAGGTGAGTAAAGTATGTCCCTAATCTTTTGTAAACAGAATTTGCTATCACTATGTTGAACTGTCTGAAAAGGTTTGTGATCTGTGGTGATAAACCTTTGATGTAAGGCAATCTCCCATAGAATAGCTTTAGAGGGGACTTCATTTCCTTGCTTATTATGTTTCCTAGGGCTCTTTCTTTTCGTATCCATGTGGTGTTGTGTGAGGTGCAAAAGTGAAAATTATAACCTCGTTACATATGACACCCGGATGTTGACAGAAATATGTCATCAAAAAAGAAGATTAATTCTTCTTTTCTATTTGCAGT